CAGCGTGTTTGTGTATGTATTGGGGTCTGGTATGGGCTGGTTGGGGAGGGGAAGAATGAAAGGAAGACTCGAGACAGGGGTGTCTGAGAAGCCGGGAAGGTGGACAAGGGGGGGGGACGGGGAGGAGGGGCGGGTGAGGAGGGGGAAGGACGAACCACAAACGAGTGAAGCTGCTGACAGGGCAAGAGTGTACCAGACGTAGAGGGGGTGAGGAGGGGGAGGGGGGAGACGAACCACGAACGAATGAAGCTGCTGCCACGGATAGACTGATACGCCAGAAGTAAGCAAAAAGTAACTAGCCAGTCACGAGTTGCGAGGGACGAGGCTTCACGACGAGTGTAATCATGGCGGAGGGGACGGGAAGGAGGAGGAGAGGGAAACCCCCCCTCCACGGAGATTTGAATGGAACAACACCCCTCGGGCAGGCGGTTGGCAGGCGGTTGGCAGGTGGGTAAATTGTACAACATCAATAGGGGAAGACATAGACCCCATGAAAAATGGGAGAGGCGGGAGAGTAGGTGAGTGAACGACAGGAGAGCAAACGCCATACCTTTTCTTTAACTCTCTACCTACAAATTTCAACGTACGTTACACACACGCACCTACATACATACACACGCACTCTGGACGTACCTGCGCATGGGCCGAGCAGTACAGGTTCCATAAGCCGATGCTGTACGGCCAACGATTCGTCAAACTCTTCAGCGCCGCCAGTTGACTCGAATCTAGAAGACCCCAACCACCTCCGCTGCCTCCTCCTCCTCCGCCGGCGGCTGCGTCGGCCCCCGCCTCCGTCGCCGTACTCGCCAGCTCCAGCTGACCAAGTTTGAGGCGGTCGATGACGGCTCGCTCGAACCAGGGCCCGCCAGCGCGTTTGACCATGAGACTGCCGATGCCGATGCTGCCGCTGCCGCCACCGTCGGCGGCGGCGGCGGCAGCGGCGCCGCCGCCACCTGAGATGACGAGAGCGATGGCGCGATCCAGAAGGGCCCTATTGGGGAGGTCGGCGGAGTGAAGGGGGAGTCAGGGGGTTGGGGGCCCAGAGGGGCAGGGTGGGGGTGGGGGGGAGTCAGGGGGGGCAGGGAGGTCGTTAAGCACCGATAGGGGTAAGTAGGGGAAGGCGCAGGAAAGGAGGGAGCCAGGTCCCAACCTCACCCCTCACCTTGCATCCTCCGACCTCCCCATCGCTGTCAGCGCCCGAGTCACCTGCAGCAGTACTTGGGCCTGCGGGCAGGCGGTAACAAGAAACGGGAAGTCAACTGCCGATATCCAAGAAGGCTGAGGGGGCGTCAGTTATTGCAGTTTATTCAGTTAGTCCAGTTACTTGCAGTTATGTATATATCAAAATATATACCTATTACATTATGTATGGATATATATATACATATACATAATCTATATTCGCAGGTAGGTGCACCCACCTGTGCTGGGTCGCTCAGGACGCTCGGCCCGACGAGCCCCCCCCGGGGGAACCGCGGGGCGCCGCCGCCGCCGCCGTGGCCGCGCCGCCGCCGGCCCTCGCCGCCGCTGAAGTCGCTGTCGCTGCCGGTGGCGCCGCCGCCGCCGTCTGTGCCGTCCGTACCGGAGCCGTCCAAACCCGATCCGCCGCCAGTGCCGCCGACATCGTCAGCGTCGATATCATCGTACGGCAGGCCCAGCACCTCCGCGGCCTTGCGGTCGTACTCGCGTGTACGTGCAGAACGGCGGTCCCTGTCCCGTACAACAAAGCAGGGACAGCAACCTCACGGCAGAAAAGAGAAGGTTCAATCATTTACCACCTAACGTTTGCCGTATAAACGTCCACATGTACCTGTCGTACTGTACGACACAGTCTATACACATACTTAGAAACAGCTAAAGGAAGGTGGTGCTCCTACTGAATTCCTGCTTGCAGAGATTAGCTTTGCCTGGACGCTGTTAAACATTCTGAAACTCTGGTACTGGCACCTCCCTACCCTCCTCCCTACCTCCCTACCCCCCTCCCTATCCCCCTACCCCCCTCCCTACCTCCCTACCCCCCTCCCTACCTACCTAACCCCCTACCTACCTAGCTACATACATACATACGCACACACCCTGGTGTGACCCCCTCCCCCCCACCTTCGCGTGGCCCCCTTGAACACGGAACCAGTCTCAGCAGCGCCCTCACCTGCACAAATTCAAAACCCAGAATCCAAGTGTTTGAAATTCAAATCCTTAGATGTTGGTACGCTTCAGAAGTTTTCCAGGCTTCCAGGAGGAGCGAGCCAAGGCACAAAGCCGTGTAAAGGCAGGAGGCTCTCCGGCGGGTGGATTGCGTGCATCTGTATGGGTGTGTGAATGTGTGTGTGTACGGGTGTGTGTATGGGTGAGAGTAAAAGCCCTCCGAAACCTCTCTTTCCCCTCACCCACCCTTTCTCTTTCCCTTCCGGGCAAACATCCGCCTCCGGAGAATGGCTCGCTTCAAAGACGGCTCCAGGCTGGGGTCGTTCACTCGCGCCAGGTCAGCAGCCAGAGCACTCAGCGAGGACTCCACGGCCGGCTGGATCAGGGACACGTACCTGTTAAGTAAAGTGTGTGCACGCGCGGCGTGTGTGTATATATGTATATGTGTTACATATCGATCCGGGCGTGGCACTGGCCACTGGGGTATGTGTGTGTTAGGGGGTGGGGCGGCGGGGTGGGAGGGTTGAGAGAGGAGGGGCGGCCTGGTGGGATGCGGGAGAGCCGAGGGGATGTCAGGGCCGTTTTGTTGTCGACGCATGTCTCGCCCCTTTCCCCCGTGTTTCCCTCTGTGTATGTGTGTGTATGTATGTATATATGTGTAATGGAGGAGGTGGGGGGAAAAGGGGGGAAAGATCCCGCGCTCTATTCAGATCCCGGCCCATACGTACACACGCACATAAACAAACATACATACATACATACATACATACATACATACATACATACATACATACACACCTCACTTCCGTGCAACCAACCTGTCCAGAAGGTTCATTTGGAGGTACAGCTGGCTGAGCCTCATTGCCAGATCCTCCCCTAGGACGTCTGCAGGTGAGATGGAGGAAGAGGCGGCAGTAGCAGCGGTGTCGCCTCCACTGCCGCTGGTACTGGCCGCCGTAGCAGCAGCAGCAGCAGCAGCAGCAGCCGCTTGTTGCCGTTCCAGAATGCCGTCCAGTACGACAATCATTTCCTCCGCAGTTGCCCTCCCTGGGGCTCCCATCTCCATACACATCTCCGCCAGACGTATGGCGGCGGCGGGGTAGCTGTGAGACGAGGGGGGGGGGCGGTAAGACGAAGTACTTATGGCAGAAGCAGGTACCAAAGACAGTGAGTTATATTTCTGCTGATTTCCCGCAGACACGCTGCTAGCTGACATGCAAGTGCTTCCGCCCCCCCCCCCCCACCTGACGCCACCTGACCCGACCAACCCTATTAACCCCACTCGGCTAGCCAGCCCTCGTAGCGCGGACAAAGCAAGGACAAAGCTCGAATCCACTAAGACTCACCTGACAAGGCGGCTCAAGCGGCAGGGGCGGAGGGCAAAGGCCATGATGACGAATATAATAATCATGCTGCTGCTGCTGCTGCTGCTGATGATGATGATGATGATGATGGTGCTGATGATGGTGCTGATGGTGAAGATGCTGATGCAAAAAGCAAGAACCCAACCCACCTGCCTTCAAACCCATAACAATAAAAAACCTTACCCCCCAACAAATCTAACCATCATCTAACCCTTCCCCCCCCTTCAGAAGCCCTCTATAACCCTCTCCCCCTACAATACAACCCCAAACCGTGCCCTACCGCGGGTCCGACTGCTCCATGGCCTGCATCTGTTCCCTGTACAGCTCCAGCCCCTCCCCCACCTCCCCCAGTGCTGTGTGGCACTTGAGCAGCTGGGTCCACAGCCCCAGGTCGTTGAAGTCGGGGTGCTCCAGAAGCGGGTTCAGGTAGTGTAAGGCCCTTAGGGTTTGGGGGAACGTGGTGGGGGGGGGAGAGAGAGAGTGAGGAAAAAGGGAAGGGGGGAACTATACGCATGGAGCAAGAAGGGTTGATTGCCGACGCAGGGGAAGAGGGGCGGGGGAAAGGGGGCGGGGGAGGGAGGGGGCAACTGCCGAGTAAAAATACACACACACGCAAAGATACACCCAACCCGTAATTAAGCCCTCGACTTAAACCCGATTGAAACCCACTAAAACCTGTGACTAAGGCTAAAACCTACTTGTCGTATTGCCCCAGCCCTGCCAGAGCGGAGCCCACGCTGATGTACAGGTCGCCGAACTGCTCCACTGGCTCCCGCAGCAGTTCCCCGAGCACCTCGTCCGCCTCCTCCCACTGACCCGTGTGAGCCAAACACAAGCCTGCGGCGGGATTCGAGGGGGGGGACTTGAAGATGTGTGTATGTGTGAAATAGCGGATAAACCGACTGTAAACTGTACAACTAAGCACCATCAAAAGAATGGGAGAATCCCTGGGAGGAGAAACTTCGGGCTCGTTCATTATTCAGGAGGGAAAGATAAAATATGATGATTGTCAAAAGGTCCTAAGCAAATGATCTTCTGTTTCCGGACAAATGCAAATATAGGTAAAATCCTAATCTATTGCAAATCCCCCGAGAGGAAACACGACCATTAGGTTGCTCCAATGGCAAAAACAAAACTATTGTCCTCGTGAAAAAATGTTGGTTCTCGTCCAAAACCGCTGCCGTACCGCTCTTAACCGCCAAGTCCAGCGGCAGCGCCTGATCAGGACACAAGACCGGCACCGCCCGCTGTATGAGAGCTCGCGCCTCCACATAACCGCCCTGTCCACGAGGCGTTTCACGCAGAAAGAGTCCGAGCGAAAGGTCTCACAAAATTTACTTTCCTTGGTGAGGAGGTGGGGTGGCTTTACCAGGGTCGCAGGGTTGGGCGAGGGCCTCAAAACGGGAATGAAACAATTTTTTTTATAAAAAGAAACCCCCAAAAATGAACAAAACTAAAAGGATTAGTGCGATGATTGCATCATTTTAAATTTTGCGCTGGAGGTCCCCGCGATTCCTGTACGACAACAATAAGATACATTCAACGAACAAACTGACTCAAAAAATGCCATAACAATCTGCACGATTACCCCCGTTATTCCGAAACTCCATTTCTCACGCGCTCCATGTAGAGTTCTGCAAGGATGTTGATGTGGGTGAGGTCCACATGGCTCGGATAGTCCCGAAGATGCGCCTCCAGTACGGCAATGGCCTGGCCGACACATTAAGGAAGTTACATACACACCACACATAAGGAAGTGTGTGTGTAAATGTGTATTGCGTGCGTGCGCTCTCCGGAAGGAAAAAGGGTAGTTTCCAGTTGTCGTACAGATCAGCGCCGTACAGGCAAGACATCGTCGTCTGCCGCGCAAACCAAATTATATCATCAGCCAACCGCCATTGTCCTTTTAACTATCCCGCGAATTTTCTGAAACTTTTGCTACTTTTGAAATATGCTTGTGAAGGCAGTTAACGGTTATGATGGTAGTTAGCGAGCTCGGCGGTAGTTAACGACAGATGAGACATGTAAAAGCTTACTCAGTAGTAGTGGGGGCTGAGCAGTGCACGTCCTGTACCCACACCAGGCGTTGGTGAGTGAGTGGGTGGCGAGCGAACGTCTTGGGAGAGCGGGAGAGAGGAGAATCTCGAGAAATAGAGAGAGAGAGAGAGAGAGGAGTCGCCCACTTTTCTAACCTAGCCGCAATCAGCACATCCACATAGCTAACGACAAACATACATACATATCTACATACATACATACATACATACGCACCTTGAGTGGTGCTCCCGCCTGGTGATATAGACGTGCTTTCATGACAGGAACCTCCGGATCACCTGGCCGTTGGCGTCCGACCTGGTGGTTGACGGTTGGTGGTTAGTTGGAAATGGCGACAATTGTCGAATTAGGGAAAAGTTCGTTCGCATGAAGTTGCTGTTAATATATTTAACGGTCCCCGTTTCGAGGGAAAAAAGGGCCCTGGGTCGCCATGGCATGATGTTCGTGTTGCTTTGCACTCGTAGCAGTCATCGGCATCGTACCGAAACTCCCAAAAACAGAAATAGAGTTCCCGAAGCCGGCCGGTTTGCAGAAATAGGATCGTACGCCATATCCGAAAGGTGCTATACGCCCCGAAAAGCCGCCCGATGACCTAAGTCCGCGGTCAATCATGAAGAACAGGTCGCGGGCCATTGTACTGAAAGACAGAAATAGAACCGTTCACGAAACTAGAAATACCCCGGTTGCCAATGTCTGGCTCGTAGGTCGCCGAGTGGTTGGTCGTTGACCGTTGCCTGTTGGCGGTTAAGAAGAAGAGCTTGTCTGCTAACTCACTGCTAACTCATGAACCTCCACAAAAGTGCGTGCATGCACAGTTTCCAAACTGTAGTACGACATTTTTCTACAAATGACACCCGCATTCCACTCTGCGCGTTTACCGTAAACATTTTTGCCACGTAACTCTAAAGGGCTCGCTCTAAAGAGCTTTAAACAATTACCTCGGAAAATTGCGCCAAGGCCTTGTCCATTTCGCCGACCTGCAATCACCAATCGCACACGACGAAGACCAAAAGAGAAAACAAAAAAAATTTCTTACCGCTTGCGGCAAAGACCATTTGTTGAGGATTTAAATTTTTTTTCACCTGAGTTGCTCAGAACCAAGGTGTATGAGAGGAGGGGAGGAAGGGACAAAGCTGGATCCCGAATCCCAACTGTGTTTGTGATGACACGTAAGCACACGCACGTGTCTTAAGGGTTTTTCTTCCAGCAAGTTGCCGTACGTACCTGAGCATACAACACCGCCCGATCCCATATCGCGTCCAGATCCGAACGATTTCGGTTTATGGCCTTAGACAGGCAGTATACCGCTTGCCTGGTGTAGCGTCACGCCGGTGTAGTGTCACGCCGTTTTCCAAAAGAGATATTTTAGGGGCGGGGGCGGGGGCGGGGGCGGGAGGTCGCGGATGAAGGAGGGGGGAAAAGGCGGAGGGGGACAACGCGCGGGGGCTCTAGGGATGGACGACCGACTGGTGAGCACAAGGGGAAGGGGGGAGGGGGGGAAAGCCGAACCACGAGCGAGTGAAGCTGATGCCAAGGAAAGACTGATGCGAACGAGAAGTAAAGAAGGCATAACTAACCAGTCGGCGCTTGTAAAGAAAAAAGTCCTCGCGATGATGTAGTAGTCATGACGATAGCGGAAAACTACCTACCTAGCCGCCAAGAATAAAATAAAGTGCGGAAGAAAGGGCAGGAAAACCATCCGTAATATTCTAGAGGCAGGTGTAAAGGCGGTGATGAGCAAAAAGCTGACGTGAGTTGAGGAAGAGGTGACGTAAGCTGGAAGAAAGGTTCGCCGGCCTGGCGGCGGATTGAGAAAGCTGGACAGAACGGCTGATAAGCTGCTGGTAATACGCTGCTGGTAAGTGACATGCAAGTGCTCCTCCCAACCCCCCAACACGGCCCTGACCCGACCGACCCGACTATCCGAGTCCGGCTAGCCGACCGACCGACGGGGGAGGGGGGAAAGACGAACCACAACGGGGGAAAGGGGGAAGAAGAGAGGAGGGAAGGGGAGGGAAAAAATCCCAAACCCCCACTTTTCCCTCAGCGTCTGCCCCTAGGGCCCCCCCCCCCCCAGCCCCTACCCTCTACCCACCCACACATCCACACAGACTCCGGACGGGTAAACGGTTCCGGACAGAACCTATATGTCCCAGCCCGCTCATTTACACGTCAATACCCGTCAATACACATCAATACACGTCAATACACATCCGCCGTCGCAACCACGCATGCACAACTAAATCGGCTCCCACCCCCTTCCACTCCCCCAATCGACATATCAACCAACCAACCAACCAACCACTCCCGTGGTTCGCCAACCTGTAAAACCCTAGTTCCGTAGACATTGACGCGAGTCGCTTCCACAGCGCCACATCTTTGGGGCTCAGGTGAGCCGCAATCATGAAGAAATCCAGGGCCTTACGTGGTTGGCCTGTACGGCAGGGGCGGTTATGATACTCAGGAGACCGATGTCCCCATTTCAAGCTGTACGGTAACAGAAAAGATGCTACAACAGGTGCACATAGCAAAAAAAACCAGAGCGGGAATTGAATTCCCGTCCTGCAAGTTAGAGGAAGGCCTGGTTCGCAACGCTTTTATGCATATGCCTTGCTCATTCATCGTACTTGACGTAATAAAACTATAAACACCGGGATCGAAACCTGTCAGGGTCGAAAATCCTTCCTACGGTGGAAGGTAAGAGTGCCCCTAGCCGATGGACGGTGGTGACCTGGGATAAAGTTGACTTGCGAGCCGACCAGGAGTGGAGTTGGGCTGCTGTCGACCCGGCAGATTCCGTTGGATGCCGGTGGTGGGTGCGGAACCTGAGCGATCCACTGAGAAATTGACTAGGGTGACTGGATGAGGGTGCCCCGAAATACCGGGGAAGGCAGGGTTTCGCCGAGTAGCGGCCGCAGGGTGAAGATATGCCCCCCTGTCCCACACATCAAACCACTCCACGCGTCACATAGACCATATCCTTTTGGCTTTGCCTGGCTTGAGAGATCAACTGGAAATATGTTCGTTCTTTCGTACATATACATGTATTTCCGTACATATCAACGAAAAACTTACCGTTGGCTTCGTGGAGCAGGCCTAGGGTGTGGTATGGGTCGGACACGTTCGGGTACTCCTTGATTACCTGCGGTTGGCGGTTGGTGGTTGGCGGTTGGTTACTTACGCGGGTAGCCTAGACAATAAGATTACTGATGTGAGGTACTTTACGGTTGCTTACAGACGTTTAATGTTGTGCGTGAAATGATCAAGACACATGAACGGTTGTTTCGTTAAGCAGTTGGTTAAATTCCGTTAGCTGCTCACTGGCGGTTTCTGCGGGGGAAAGACCTGGGCCGTTCCTTTCGGAGCAAGACCCACAAAAACCATCGTCTAATCATCATTACATTCCTGCTCTGTTTTTCTTCCAACAGAAGCCAATAATTTTCAGCATCGCATTTGAAAAACGGCCCCGAAACCAACCTGTGTGAGTAGCTCGATAGCGGGCTGGTAGTCCTGGAGCGCGTACATGACGTTGGCCTGCCCTAATTTGGCCACCACCTGGGAGCATGGGAAGAAGAATATTCAGGAAATTGCATGTTGGAAGGAGTTGGAAGGAAATGGTGATAATTTCGGAAATCCATTAGGTTTGCGATAGAATGCTTTTCCACACACACATGGAAAAGTATTATATAGCACCGAAGGGACCTTCATAGCTAGGGAGATATTGGTTATGAGAAATAATAATAATTTAGCAATAAGCAATTTTTTAAAATTCAACTAACAAAGCAACTTTGTTTTGTTTAATGCAATAATAGTGTCGACTTTTAAAAAGGTATCGATAAAATATCGATAAAATACGCTATGGGAATATGTGAACCTAAAAATCCACCTATCAAGAAAGCAATTACAACTGCAATTTGTTCAGGTCATTTACAGGCATCCTTAAGGTTTGGCTTTTCAAATTCGAGTTTCTGAGCTTTGCTTGGATTATGAAGCGTGAGCCCTCAATCCCACAAGCTAGGTTTTAACTACATTCTTGCCCTTCCATTCACGAACTCATAACTAGAACTAACGTAAACGCATCTCACGAGTGCTATCGTACATGTACGACATATTGCGTTCATTCTTTCCGTTGCGGATTATATCCTTGGATTGGAATGCGCGAAACATACACGAACAGCGTGCCCACCTCTTCTGGAAGCCCACGCTTCGGCCGACTCCTCCGGCGAGCCCGACTCCGGCCTCGCCCACGACCCCGCCCGCGGCCACGTCGTCGCGACCCTGGTTCAATAATTCCCATCCGTTCCGCTAACGGATCGTCCAAAATGTCATCCACGTCAGCGCCGAACACGTCCGAGGCCGCGGAAGACCTGCGGCGCTCTTGCGCAGGGCGGCCACGGCCGCGGCCGCCGCTGGCGGCTGCTGACGGCGTCCTGCCGCCCCGGCCCCGGCCCCGGCCCCTACCTCCTCGGCCTCGGCCTCGGCCGCCGCCACGACTGGGCCCCGCGTCCTCCATCTCCACATCGTCGCCCTCAGGCCCCGTCTCCTCTCTCTCCATCGCCGCTGCCGTACCGTCATCGCCGTCATCAACGTCATCAGAGTCGCCGCCGCGGCGGAGGCCCCCATGCTTCCGTTGTGCCCAGCGGCGTTGCCTAATGAGCTCGAAGGGCTGTAGCGCGCTTGCAGAGGTGCCGCCGCCGTAGGCGCCCGTACCGCCGCCGCCTGCCGTACCTACAGGCGCCGCGCCTTGCTGCTCCAGCTCCTCTAATAGCGACATGGGATCCAGATCCCCGTCAAATAGATCCTCCCCGCTTTCGTCACCTGAGGCGCTTGGGCGAGTTTCATAACGATTCTTTCAGGGTTTCCTAATTAAGAGAAACACAACAAAAAAGAAACATGGTCGTACAAATTTCTCTCTTTTCATGCGACCGTTTCCCTTCACACTGTATGTTTGACTGCCACTCGTCCAACTAATTTAACTAACTATCCCTACGGCACATCTGTGGTCGTCCAAAATAATCCAATCCTTAGAACCCTGTAACCTTAAGTTCCTAGATCCATGCCCTTATCTTCTCATGCATCTGTTTCGACCAGGGTGTTGGCATACATTCTCCTCTCGCCCTCCCCAAATCCCAAAGCCTCACTCAGGCCCTCGAAAGACAAAAAGGCCATCAGAGATCGACCGAACACCACCAAGATTTGAATTAATCAAACTCAGCCACCTGGCCTTATTTACCCACGCACTTAATCTACAAACTGCATGAAACCCATCTGAAAACCCTAAAACCCACCCGTCGTAAAACCCGAAGTGTAACCGCCATCGCTGATGCCCCCAGGGGGGCTCCGACTTCGATGGCGGCTGATGACAGCTCCGCCCCGGCTGCCTCGGCCCCGAGTTGAGCCCCTTCCGGCGCCGGCGCCGCCATTTAGGTCGCTGTCGTACTCTGAATCGTCGTCATCGTCGTCATCTGACCCGCGGGTCTGTGTATACTCCGTGTCGCCGTCTTCCTCATCGTCGTCGTCGCCGTCAGTAGCGGATTCCGATTCCTCATCTTCAGAGCTGAAAAAGCTGGCCAGTGCGCTGCTATTGCCGCGGAGTTTGCTACTGCCACGCGAGGCGGCGCTGCGAGTGGGGCGGCCGGCAGTAGCAGCGCCGCCGACAGCTGGGGTGACCCGAGGGGTTCCGTCCTCTATCTCGACACCCTCGGAATCCGAAGCCGCCGCCGCCATAACGTGAGTGGTGGCGTGTCGAACGTGTGCGTGCTACTGCCGGCGCGGCTGCGTGAATGCGGCGGCGGCGATAGTGTGTACAAAGCAGCAGTACAGTAGTTCAGCTGTGGCTAATGCCGTACATAGTGATTTCTGATCCTGTTGTATTTTCATGTTCTCCTGTGTTGGCGTGCTGCGTGGTCGTGCGACGCAGATGGTGCGGCAAAGGAGGCAAAAGTGGATCAACGTTATGTACTGCGGCGTATGGTGGCAATTGGCAGGACAAGTGGTGGGGTGGCGTGCATGCTGGATGGTGCAGAGCCAGACGAGAGCGTATGGTGGTGGCCCCCCTCAAGGTATGGTCTAGGCTGTATGGGTCCATTCCTTCTACCAGTTGTGAGGCAAAAGTGTCTTGCAACTAGGGCGCGGTCTCTGGCCGCGACTTCATCGTCATGGGAGATTTCTCAGGTCTCGGGACAGCCGAGGCCTTTGGCGTGGCCAGACGTCTGGGTACGGATTTGATGCGTAAGTTCAAAGCATCCAATCCTTGAAGGTTACGTCTATATAATCTATCCGCCGGTAGTTGCTCACCTTTTGTACGCAACCTAGTCCCGCCCAAAATGGCTCCTAATAGATTATTGATGCTTCACCTAGTAACGAGATTTAAATGCAAACGTATTTGGTGAAGCTTGGCTGTGTCTGTCGTGTGCGTATTCTTACTACAGTGGGACGACGTGACTAGCTCTGCGCACACACAATCTTTTCGACTCCATAAACGCCATGCGTGTGCTCAGTGGTTCTTCCTCCCCGTGCTGTGCAAGTGCAACGCTCAATTTCCGCCGTGAAATGGAACCTGTCGTACAATGTCTCTGGCAACGCTGAACATGGAAAATTTCACGCCTACCACATCAAAACGTCATGTTTGCTGATGAATAAGGTGTATATTGAAGTGGGAAACATACAGAAGGATTGGTTAAGTCGCCGTCAAGCAAGTCCGAAGGTCGTTGGGGTCAGGAAAGACGTCGTAGCGCAATGCCGCCAGGCGTCTGTCAATGCCTCTTTGTGGTCTTATTTGCACTATCAATTTTCCCGGCAGCGGACGCAGCAGCGTGGGGGCGATTGAGCAATATCGGCGCTTGGCTAAAGCCGTCTCTGCGACAAGCTCCGGAGCTGCTACAGGGATATGTAAAGTACAACGATAACACTGGAGCCATGTCATTTGTGAAGGGACTAGCCATACCAAGACGAGGTGGGCAGGCCAGGGACAAGGGAAAACCCTAGTGATGCGCTGTTGGAAACACTCCGGCCTCGGATTTTTCCTCCAGCGCCATCTGAGATCTAATTTCCACAGTGCTCTGATGTTCTTTGTGCGAAGTCTTGCACCGTCCGTACGTCGCACTCTGCCTATTTAATCGAAGGCTTGGCGCTGCCTGCCGCTTGCGCTGCATCAAAATGCAATCATGACTGCCAAACACAGCATATCTTGAACATCTTCCTATCCTTATTCGTTATCGGCTTAACTGTTTCCGGTCCTTCTCTCGCTGGCTGAACAGATGAAGCTCCGGCTCACGGTTCCTTTTCCGACCCGCTACGCCACAAGAGCAATTTTGGGCAGCTTCGAATCACCACCAATCCAGCTTTTCTAGACGAGATTCAGATGCAGGCTGCGGGCTTTCTGGAGGGCTATCTGACTGCCGGTATGTAAACGATGTCGAAAACTTGTTCACCCTTCTAAACTGCAGTCAAATATTGCCTGCTCTGTGCATCGATGATGTGTACGGGTTGTCGCAGGGCGCCGACGCAACGGTGACTTGCGTAGGGGTTTCAGTTCGTAGCTGTTAGTTGCTGTTAACAGGTGGAAAAGGTCGTTCGCGCGCTCGTTGTATGGTTGTCTATACGGCGCGTGCACTTCCTGTCTTCCTTTCTTCCCTTTCCCCGATACATGAATACACACGCACATCGTCAAGTCCCGTCCCAATCCCTCATCGTTTGTGCCTTCTTTATTTTCCCTCCGACTCCCGACTGACTCATATCCTTATCATCTTCTTCCGCGTTCGTGGGACATCACAGAGCGCATTTTCGACTACGCGTACAACATGAAGTCCTGGTTGGCCTCTCAAACGAACGACACGTTCAAAGTTGGGGACTGGTGAGTCGGTTGGCCGGTCGGTTAGAAACTGATGTTGGGGATGGATAACAAAGCCAGGATGGCGGCGATTCTGCACCGGTGGAGATGTATTGATCGATGAAAGGTTCTGTCGCTGCGTTCTGAAACCCCAAACTAATGCCGTGCTAAGGCTCACACACCTAAAGGCAAGACGAGGCAATTTCCTTTTCGTCAAGCCCTCCTAACAATTCATTTTCCGTTTGCGGCGCGATTGTTGCAATTCAACCCACCATGGGGGCACCATACTATTCCTCAGCCAAATTTTTGAGTACAACTATTGGGATATTTTATATTTCCTGAAGACTCTTCCGCCACTCTCTGCTACCTACCCAACTAACGTGTCGCTTTCCCAACTAACAGTTATCCACGCAAACCCCCAACCGCCTCCCAACCGTCACAAACAGGCTCTTCGAACAAGACCGTTGGGCCCGTCAGCAAGTTAAAGCGTACACGGAATCCAACATCGATTCAAAAAACACTGCAACAGCCAGTGCCGGTACGACAGCGCCGCCGCCGCCGAATCCCTCGTATTGGCGTGCTGTGGGTTTGCTGATTGCTCAGGCTGACGGCTTGTTGGCGGGCTACAGCGCCCGGCTGGCGGAGCTGGGTCCCCAGGCCCCCCTGGAGCGGTTGACCAAATATGACTTCCTCATGTTGAACGCGCTGGGAGACATGGACGACCTCCTAGGTGGGATCGAGATGCAAAATTGAAATTTCGATTTTGGTTTTCAAATTTGCATTCCAATTTCGAATTCCTATTTCCGACACCAATTTGGATTCTGGTTGATGTCCACATCATTCCAGGTTTACTTTTGTCATTCTTGCTGGCCCTGTTTTAGTGCAAGATTTTCTTTCGTTCCACGGCCAATTCCACATCTAGAAGATATGTATTATCCGTTCCGAGTTTTTCTTGTTTCGGCCGTTTCATTCCGGCTGTGTCTCTGTCTGGTTTTAGTTTCGGAGCTTGGAACTGTTCCCACACACACACATCCACCGTTCTATCCGTGACTTGCTTCTTGCTTATTGCCATATTGCGAAATTCCCTAAAATGTCGTAGACCGCCTTAATTCATAAAATACATTGCCGGCCGGCCATTCGGCGGTTTGTTTATCTCGACATGCATACAGAGATCATCTTTCCCAGTACGGACGATGGATCCGATACCTCCGACTACGATGACAACGCCTCATTAGTCCTCAAGTCGAGGAATGGCGACATTCACGGCATCTCGAACTCGGAACGCGATGCATCCTTCCTGTTGTTCTCCAACCTCCTCGCAACCTCCTCCTCCACCTCCGCTGCGGAAGCGGGCGAACTGCAGCATCGCGAGGGGGTGAAGGAGGTGAAGGAGGAGGAGGAGGGTGGTTTGGCGGTCGCAGCCCCCGGGGGAAGGGGGAACAGTTCCACCTGGCGGGATTTGACACCGGGCCAGGTCCGAGCACGGATCGCCATGCGGGGCCGCTGTACGGCACTCGTCAAGGTATGTACGGCGGATCTGTGTTGGGTGTGTGTGTGTAGCCGCGGTGGTTGTGGCAGCCATGTCTGGGAAGCAGTAGGCCGTCCGGTTCCGTTTGTGCCGGGTGGTTGGTTAGTTGATGTTTCTCTTTCTTTATCTCACCTCACATCATACACACATAAACATACATACAGACATGCAGACATACATACATACAGACAGACATGCAGACATACACGTACATACATACATACATGCAGACATACATACACGTACATACAGACAGGCGTGCGTGTGTTATGACGCAGGTGACCCCCGGTTTGGATGACTTGCTGCTCGGTCACGTTACCTGGTGGAGCTATCTGTCCATGCTGCGGATTTACAAGCATTACAATCTGGGCCTTACGCAGCTGAGCGGCCCGAGTGGCGGACCGGTCAATACCCGCGTGTCATTCTCCAGTTACCCCGGTGGGGCGGGGTGGGGTCATTTTGGGGGGGGGGGAGGGGGGGAAGTGGGGTAGCGGGCCGGGTTTTTGGGCGCATATCCCGATTTAGCTGGGTTTTTCTGTGATCGCCACCCTCGTACTACTCGTACTACGTTGATCTTCCAGTTCCTGTGGTTTATGTTTTTCCCTCCCGAACAGTGTTATGTATCCCGTCTCGTCCCGTCGTTTGAAACTTACCGTCCAACTGTCAACGGTTAACCACCTGCATGGACTTGTCGTATTCCGTACAGGTCAGATTAGCTCCGCAGACGACTGGTACATGCTGGGCAACGGTCTGGTAGTTACCGAGACTTCCCTGGATACATATGACCGTAATCGGTACAACGCGTCGTACGGCTGTACGACATCGTCGTTGCTGTCGTGGCAGCGCGTGCTGGCGGCGAATCTTCTGGCAGTGGACGGACCGTCCTGGGCTGAGCTGGCGGCGTCGTACAACGGAGGTGAGAGCGTTTTGCGTTTTTATTTGTGAGCTTGCTTTGCCGATCCATCTTCCGCGATACGGTATTTGCTTTGCCGACAACTATTGATGTGTTTGCTAGCTAGCCAGGATAGTCAAAAGTCAAAAGTAATTTCACCAAATTCATAAAAGTTAAATTAAAAGGCATTTAATTCTCCGAATCCAACAGTAAGGGTATAATATCCAAACGTGTTCAGATCAACAATTTCTGAATGATCCCTGAACGTTTTATTCCGCCTGAAGTAATTCTTCGTGTCGTAATCCTTTTCATTATTTCACACAGGCACCTATAACAACCAATATCTGATTGTCAACCTGAATCTCTTCACTCCGGGCTCCGAACTGAAGCCCGGTCTTCTGACCATCTCGGAGATCATCCCTGGACTAGTCATGACCGCCGACGCCACCGACGATCTGCTGCTCGGCCATTTTCCGTCGTACAATGTGCCGTACTTTCGCGAGGTGTACGAGGCCGCGGGGTACCGACGCCACGCAGAGGCCATGGCGGCGCGCGGTGCGGCGTTTGCCGCGGCGGCGCAGGGGATCAGTTACCAGCTTGCGCCTCGCGCCAAGATCTTCCGTCGCGATGCCGGTGCGCCGCCATTGTGTTGAGCTAAGATTCCCTCTCCACCCCGCTACCACACCCGCCGTCGGCAAGGGACCCGAATACTCCCCCTACGTCGCATGTGGTCCACATCACCGGCACCTCCATAGCCTTGCAGCATCGCTTTGGCGCTTACAGCAGTTCGTGCTTTCGAATTCCATCCCGCAGTTTAACCCCTATTGTTTCTTGCATCATCATCATTATACATCACGTCATCATCATCGTCATAATATATTCATTAATATTATAACACAAACAATAATAAGGACAGCAGCGTTTTTCACTCACTCACTCTTATCTTTTTGCAGCTGATGCCGCGGATCTGGACAGCTTTCGCCACCTGCTTAGATCCAACGGTTGGAACCGCCGTACAGCAAATTCGGATCCGCTGTCCGCGGCCTCGCCCTGGGATGCGCTGTGCGCCCGAGGGGATCTGGATCCGGACTCTCCGGCGTTGTACGGCTGCTACGACGGCAAGGTTACCAATTACAGGTAGCTAGTAGGCTTTCGGGTAAAGGGAGTTCATCTTAGGGTTTATGTCGTACATCAGGGGGTGGTAGCGCATTTAAGGACCGTCACCCGGATGTGTGTGGCGGGGGCTCGGAGGGTGTGGGCGTGTGGGTAATACACACCCGTGTATGCCCCGTGACGTGTAGTTAGCTGCGTGGGTAGTGGTAGTGGGTGGGGGTAGGGGTATGGGGTTAGTGGGAGGGGGGTGGGGGTAGGGCAGGTTTACAGTTTTACTTCATGACAGGATGGGCCAGGAGACTGTGCCACGGCGTGCAGTCGTCAACTATTGATCTTTTACATTTGGCATCCTGTGATCCTCGTTTCCCCCACCCCAACAACATCATTAATAGCATTAATTAAGAGGAGGGCTGTCTTCAGCATGAAGAGCTAATATGTTTTAGATTACCATGCTCGGACAATCCGCTCCTTATTACGCCGTGTCATTCTAGTATAAACCTCATACACACCCGCACACAACCGACTTTCCAACAACCCACAGGCGCGCTCTGGAGCTCTCCGCAGATGCCATCAACGGCCCCACAACCGAAAACGGTCAACTGCCATTCCGTTGGGACACGCACAGCGGAGGCGCCCGCCGTATCAAGTACCGCGGCATGCTCGATGTGTACGACACGGAGTGGGAGGAGCAACGGCCGTGAAGTCTGTTGAGAGAAATGGTGGGGTGCCGTACGGCGCTGGCTGGCGTCCTATCGTACATCATTCTGTTAAAAGCTGGGCTTGAAAACCGCGTTACGTGGTAGCGGGTGAGTTCCTGAAATTGGGGATAGAGGGAGCGATTGAGGGCGAGAGCGCGTCAGAAACTTGTATAATCCGTACGGCAATGTCGTTGTCAAAGCGTGCTCGTTGTCGATGTGCTGCGTACGGCACCTGTTGAGCTGCTTTTTGTCTTTCTTTCTGCGGGGCCGTTCCGTCTTTAAGTAGTGTTGCTTCCTGAGGTCGTTGAGCCCTAATGTGGTTGTTAATTCAGTTAAGTGGGTAGATGGATGCCTTAAAGGGAAGGAGGGGCCTTGCGGAAGGCTTGCGGGATGGCGCGAAGATTCCGGTCCGTCGCCATCGTTTTCCACGTCTCAGTTCGGCAGTTTCGGTAGTGAGCTGAAACGGTGCGATGAAGAGGGAACATTGTTGTACGACAAACGGAATTTTTCCAGAATGGAATGAAATAGAGCTCGCGCTCGCTCGTGTAATGATTGAGATCGCGGGAAGGTGGGAAAGACGAATCACGAACGAGTGAAGCTGCTGCCGGGGGGAAGGGGGGGAAGGTGTTGTGTGTTTACGTGTGTGTGTGAGTGTGTGTGTGGGTTGAGTGTGTGGGTTGAGTGTGTGGGTTGTGGTGAGAATGGACGAGCGGCAGGGGGATTGGGGGTCTGTTGAAGATTTTGATTGCCAGTTCGCCGCATTGCCGCCGCGCACTGCACGCGCCGGAAATCGAACTATCTCGGTTGTTGAACTGTCGGTTGTGGTAGTTTGACCGGTTAAGTCCTGAAAATCGTTGAAAGGGGGTCGGGCGCTGCCCTTATCTCATCACGGAGTCCTTCGCGGCCCATGAACAACCCCAACATGTACTTTCTCTCCACATACATGTATACATCTATATCTCGGGATGTACTTACCCTTAATTTACACTTTATTTTGTCGACGGATGTTATCAAGAAGCAAAGTCCTCCCACCAATACATCCTGAACCTGCCGCCGAGCATCACGTAGCGCCATGTACGGGAAAAAAACGTTAGACCAATAGTTTGCTTTGGTTTCTGTAGCCCGCGTTTCCGCATGAGTCGTATGAAGGTTGGCAAGAGGCAACGTTGTTATCGCCCGGGAAAGCTATTTTTGATCTTTTCTGGGGCTACTGACTGACTCTTGTATCGCCATCGCCATTTCTCTACCTGGGAGGCTTCCGTCATGAAGTCGCTGTACGGATGTACGGAAGGGCAGCATGTGCCCCAACTGTTCCCCAACGGCATGAGCTGACGGATCTGAGCGGATTTTTATTTTGCGCTGCTGCTATAGCAGTTGGGGGGATATGGCGCCGAGAACTTTCTTCTGTACTACAACTGATGTACTGCTGTACAGTAGTGGCTTGTACGATAAGCGTAAGGGATTCGTTTTTTCTTTCTCTGCAAAGTTTTCTTCATTCTTCGTTTGTATAATAAATAGATATAGGGTTTGGGCAAGAGAGCTAATCGGCGCGTACTGGTTTACGACGCTCGTACATGTATGGCGGTCGTACTCTTGATAGAGTGTACACAGTATACCGCATACAAAAGACGGTGGAGCGGGAAGAAACAAGCAGCTAGAGCGCACGCGCGCGCATCTAACCGCGGTCTGAAGGCCAGCTGAGCGCCTGTGTGATATAGCGCTCTGTGCGCACGTCAGTCCGGAACGAGGATGAGCGAGGGCGTCCTTGGAAAGGGGGGCCCTTGGGAACACCGCACGGGGGAGGACCGACACTGCTGAAAATGAGCCTATTTGTACACTGTGTGTGTATATTTATCTCTCAAGCGTGTGTTTGTACGCCTGTTTGTAAGTCTGTTTGTAAGTCTGTACGTCTATCTGTATAGTGTTACGGGGACCGGCAAAAAATCGAGCCACTGGAGCCAAAAAGAAGCGAGGATAGTGGCTTAGCACATCCCGGACCAACCAGCTGGTCAGCAGGTCAGCTTGGCATGGGTTTGTACGACATGTATTTGCATGTACGACATGTGTTATTTATCATCATGTGTTTTAGCTGGTACGGTGGTTGGCCAGGTTTTGACTGAGAGTCAAGTCAAGAAGCGACTGCACTTGCGGCAGTTGGGGCCGACGGCGGGTGGTTAGGATCCGGTGGATCCATGCAGATCCGCGCAAGTGGATGCGCGGGGGGGCCGCCGTGTCTTGTGATGTAGCTAGTGGTGTACCATGAGGCGCGCCGCCGCACTACGGATGCCATTGCGGCGCTCAAGGGGGCATCGCGGCATTAACTTAACCTCATACGTTTAGGGGGCTCAAGGTCAGCGGCTGTGGGAAGGGTGTGGTCAAAGGGAGGGGAGGTCGGCTGGGCAGGAAAGGGATTGATGTACGGTACGGTACGGACTTTTAGGAACTTGCCATCATCGGACTTCATTTTGTCTTTGCGCGAGGGTGAAAGATCGCTCGATCGGACAGAACTCGGACACAACTCGTCGTGAGGTTAATAATGTAAAAGCTCTACTCAGATGGTGCGTGATCTGTGTACACATATATATACATCGGGAAGCGCTGATTAATTTTAAAAAGTGTCCACTGAAGAATGAGTATTAGGATGCGTTAAAACACGTGCCAACGGGTTCCATATGTAAGTACGCGGGGGGCCCTTGGGGCCCCCCCTGCTGTATGTACGACGCTCGTCTTCTCGTATACATATATATTTGTTTTTTGTGGATTTGAAACATCAACGCAGATTCATATATCCTTTACATCGCTCGAAGTCATAGTCATCTCGAACAATGTCGTGTAAATGTATGTGATAGTAATGTATAGATACGGCGGATCGTTAGCTACCTAGCTACCGGCCGTACTGCAGCAGTCTGCTGTCCTTTCCCGCCCTCCCCCCCACGCAAACAACTGCATTTTTATGGACAGCGATATGGGGTCCGAAGAAGCACTTAGACGAGCTCCTGTGGGGTTACCGACGAAGGGAATCTGACGGCGAAGATTTGAAAAAACCACCAGCAGCCGTCGCATCCCCTGTTAACCACCCCCATATGACTCCCAGGAGGGGCTTGAGAAAAAGGGGAGAGCCCCTCTGTAGCTAGCTGCGCACGCCCTTGCGATATTCTGCTGGCCAAAAGAAAGATCACAATCAGGGGCATTATTAGCCACAGCTAAGAAAGCCAGCGTGGTGTGTCCCTGTTAACCTGCCGAGGTGTGGAAAGAGGGTGTGTTGCCTGGAGCAAGCAAGTTGTGAAAGGTACGATAACAGAGCTTTTGAACTTACAAATTCCGCGCCAGTGCGGGGGAAGGGTCCATAAGAGAGCCTGGGGCGGAGCTGGGAGCCATGGACGGTGAAATAAAATAGTATATGTAGCCATTATGAAATAATATATCTAGCCATTATGGTGAGGCCGAGTGAGGGACTTGGCATATTGACGTCCCTTACCGCTCAGCTGGGCTCGACGGCTTGTTGAAAGGTACGATAACATTATGCATTGACATGCACAACAGAAAACTGTCCAACCACTACCGACATCCCGCCATAAGCTGATCGCTCGGATACATCAGAAATTATGCGACAGGGCCTTGTGCGATGCAAGTTGTCTTGTTTGGATTATCCTGGAGTACGACGCAGGCCGCGCTCATGGTCTACATGGCCCGAAACCTGCCAACCGCGCAACCCTACATTGCCACACGCTCATCCGTTCAGTTAGAAGTCGTCCATTACCCACTACCCAAGATGTAATTTTGGGTAGGTGTCGATATCGGTATGTATGTATGGGGATGCAAGTTCATGAATCTACCCTGGTTTCAAACCGCGGACCAGTGGCCGCTGTGCAAGATGTCAACTAAGTCCAGTATCTGTCATCCCGTACGAGCCCGTACAAACCTGTACGGCAATTGCAAAAACACCAGCCTGCGGCCACAACGTAGCAGACAGCTAGCTATAGCCATATGGACGACGCACAGCATAAAAATAAAGTGAAAGCAAA